GGACCATCTTTAAATGTAGGAATAAATCTGCTCTGCTCATATTTACATTTGTACAACAGGTCGGGCTGTTTCTGCTGCCCTTTATTTGTTCATCTTCAAGACACAGTCGCCCCTGTTCAGTAAATAACTATGCTCCTCTGTTACATAAGGGATCAAAAATAAACCTTTCAGCAATGTTTGAACGCACAAGTATGTATTGATTGGTATGGATTTAAAAAAAGCTGAAATCTGTATTTTCCTCTGTGTCTTACTGGTGCTGATATTTTATGTTTTTCTGTCATTTTAAAATCATATTAATAATTGAGACATTCTTCTTATAAAAATTCTTACTTTCTTAAAGTGAAAAAAAAAGGTTTCTTCTTTCTTGACGGTTTCTTCTCAGGTTTTCCAGCGTGGATGCTGACGTGTCTCCTCGGCTCCATCACTTCAGCAGAACACTGACACTGTTATTTATCTTCTCCATAAATTCCCTCCATCCACCCACACTCTTACACCGCTCCCTGCCTGTTTTGTATTCAGAGCACAGATCGATTTCTCCAGGTCACATTGATGAGAGACTTCTAATTTCCTAATGGAAAACCAGCAGAGCACGATGTGTGCGTGTGTGTGTGTGTGAGGACACCCTGGTAGGCCTATAACCGGTGAGCTGTGTCTGGATGCCTGGTGTTGGACTATGCTGTCACAAAGTGGTACAAGGTCAGAGCACCCTGTTTTTTAAGCCTGAGTTCAGAGGGAGGGGATGCGGAAAATAGAACATCATATTTCCCATTTTTTCTTTCATCCCATTTCCTCATTCATGTTGGGTTTTGATATATGAATTTTCAAATGGCGAATTATGATTATGGCAGCTATTGATAAAAGCCGTCCTGCTAACTGTTACTGATCTATGCACAATGGCTTCATGACTGATGGCTTCATTTCAGCTCATTTCTAAACATGAAAGCGAGCAGAGAGATCGCTGCATCATGGAGTCGGCAGCGAGCCCATCCTTGAAGCAGTTATCGATGCAAAACATGAGCTTCCTCAATGTCTCTGTTCTGTCACAACAAATCATGGCACCAATCAACGTGAGGGAATTTGCATAAAGTTGTTTATATCAAAGAGATTAAACTTTGTGCAAGCCGGCACTCAATTTAGATGTCATCTTCTTGGAAGTGAAAGAAAAAACATTCACAAGACGAATTACATCAGAAGCAATCTGATTTCTGATAAGACTTCTGGTCGGGTGATGTGATGATTTTAGAAGTGATGCTCATTGGTGAGTGTTTCAGCTGCCTTATCGTATGGACAAACACAATCCCACTTTACTTTGTTTATCTTAAAAAGTACATGGAAGACATTAAAAACTGGAATGGTACTCAGTAAAGTGCATAACTCCACCAACAGTCCTCTCAGGCTACATCCACACTGTCCGGTTTTCATTTGAAAATGCATCAAGTTTAAGAGTCATCAAAACATCAGTTTCCTAAATGTTTTCCAATAATTATTCCCTGGGAAGTTGTTGGAAAAGTCTAAAAACATCCTATTTTGCAATATAACGGAAAGGGATGTTTGTTTTTTCAGTAGTTTTAATGTTATCCTGCTTACAAACAAACAAACAAACAAATAATCTCCTTGGCTGAGGTAATAACAGTGAAATCGTTAAAATAACTATCCATAGTGTTTTTCTCCTTTATCACCTGTCGCAGAGACGTAATAAAAAACACACATGACATCAGGGGTGTGATTGGTTTTCTTTGAGTTTTTTTTTTCATTATAAATTCTACACAGCTGGAATAAAACAAAAAGATACATCAACACACCACAGAGGTCACAACAGTGTACCACAAAATATACAGTATACAGTACAGCGAGAGAAGTAAAGCACTGAGAATATCTCATAAAGAATCCTAAATATTGAAAAAACAAACAAAAAAAACATGTCTCTTCTCTCAGTGAGCGGGAAATCGTGGGAAAATGAAAGCTCAGTAGTTGCAAAATGAACAATCCCCTAAAAAAAAAACCAGCTTGCATACCACAATATTATTTTTATATAAAACATTAAAATCAAAAAAAGGATGCTGTACGCTCACGTATCTATCTCGTCTGCCATCACAGGTTTGCTATTAGTCAATATGGCAAGATCAGTAGACAGACATTCATTAAAAAAAGGCCTTGTGGGCACAGATAGTGGTTTGAGGTGACCTTTTTTTTTTTTAAAGTAAAAAATCAAGGCCATTGGTTCCAGTGTACAACAAAGTATAAGGGCACATCAACCCGCTATCAGACCTTTCTGGCCTGTGAACAGTGTAGAGGAGGAACAGAAACGCCAGAATTTCAAACCTAAACACAGAAACACCTGCTGTGACACTGAAAAACTCTTTCATTTGGTAAAAAATAAAAAGGTACACCACATATTCCAGCAAATAGCTGAAACCCCATCCCTCCCTCACCTCCCCGCTCCCTCCCCTCCCAGCTTATATCAAACCAGAGTGAACGTATGCCGGTGATTTCTCCAAACAGGTGAATCTGTGACTGTGAAGACATGACAGCAATTACGATCCCATTGCGGGCGGCTTACTAACTACAGATGCTTTTTGAGCTCCACATCATGCACAGTACACCTCGGTGTTTGAATCCACAAAGAAAACAGGAGAGCAAAGTAAAAAAACAAGCAAACAATTGGTGCACTAACATAATGTACAAGCACACTGGAAATGGGAAGAACAAATTTGTACAACCTAATAACTTGCTTGTTTTCAGTGGCTTTTTAGTTGGATTTAGAAAAAACAAGCAATTCTAGAGCAAGGATTGACGTTATCAAATGCCTGAGCTGCTTCTAGTGGAAGATAATTAGGGAGATTGGGGGAAAAAATATACATAAACATTTGCAGGTGGCAAAAATGCAATTAAACAAACAACACTGAAGCAAACGCGGAGCTTCTTTGAGCGGTAATGGCTACAGGCGTGTGTGTGCCAAGCTGTGTGCTTAGGGATTAAATGTCGTGAGCATAAATCGTCACTTGTTAACTGAGGTGGTTAAAACAGAGTGACAGCCCGTGATAATTTTGCCCGATACACCCAGCAGAGAGCAGATCATTTAAGTGCAGACTCCAAGGCAGAGTAGACGCTCTGTGTTGCAAACTAGCAAACACACACTTCCGATAAAAACACACACACGATGGCTTAATGGCATTTTCTGTTTAATTTGGGGTAGATAAGAACAATTGTGCCACCGTGTTTGGACTGTTCAGCTCTACTCTGCAGGGGAGTCAAAGACGTGATTGAGGGAGTAAAAGAAAAAAAGCTATGATAGTTATGTCATCCAGTGATTATGAGTCACATTATGATTTTTGCACAGTCTTTAACCTGTGGTAGCTCAGAAGGGTGGAGCAGAAGAAAGTCAATCTTAAAAAAAAAAAAAAAAGGAATGGGGGTTGTTACTCCACCCAGCAGGTCTACCCCAGGTTATAAAACAAGCATGACTGATGCCAGACATGCTAAACCTCCCGATGTCCCAAGAACACACCCACGTCCACGCACCACCTCGTGTCCCCTCCTCTCAGTATAGTGAATAAAAAAATGAGCCCTGTTGTCTTCATGACACTTGTCCTCCTTCCCTTCATCCCTCTGTCGGTTGTTTTCCTCCACTCGGTTCAACACTGTCAGAGAGAAAAACAACAATTACCACCAATGTACAAACTTTAATTCCTAATGATAAGAAACACTGTATTTATGACTTACTGGTATAACAACAATGTGGCCCAATCAATTAACAGCTTATTTAAAAGATAATTAAGTTAAGCTAATTTAATGTAGCTTAACTTTTTTGCATTTAGATGACTGCAGCCAGCCAGACAGCCAGATAGATAGATAGATAACTATTTCTGGGTATTTTATATGACTTTGGAAGTTGACAGAGAACAGAAGATTTTTGTGAAATGATCTGTATTTGCTCATGTTAAGTTATTGAGTTTAATGTTATTTCAGACTAAAACTGAATTTGTCTGTGGCCTGGTTTTCAGGAGACAGCTCACAGACTAACGTTCTTATTTGGCGTCTCTACAAATAAACATCACATGATAGCATTTGAACAGACTTTTGCTTCCTCTTGTTGCTTCCATTTTAAATGCACAGCAAAGTGTGTCTGCCATCTTCTTGCAGTGCTGCAACATTGCACAGTTTGCTGTCAGCACTTTAAAATATCCCATAAAACAAAGCTCGCTTAAAACGGCTCTCACATGCACGTCAAATATGCCACTACCATAAATTTGAGGATGAAGTGAATTACATTCGTGACGGCGTTTTCAGATGACTGCGTACAGCTGTCAGCCTCCATCATCTGAGAGATTTTTTAAAAACCGCTGTCTTTGAACTACAACTGTCGACTCTCAGTCAGCGTGACTGATGTGTCTGAAGATATTTACTTACTGTAAAGCTGGTGTTCAAACTGATACTGCTATGAAGTCTTAGTGGGAAAGTTTATGTTGACATACTCAGCTGAATGTTCTCCAGATAAATAAAATGTAATCCAGCTACATTAAGGAGCCATGTTGACCTCATTCCCCCATAAGATTAAATCAAACTACAGGTTTAACTCTGTACATAGAGGCCCCAGCTACCGGTCAGGCCATTCCAACCCGCACATTCCAGCCTGCACAACCTTCTTGCTGTGAGACATCAACGCTGACCACTGCACCACGCTGCCCCACGGTTAAACATTGTGAGACCACAAGTTCCGGCTCATGACCCACCAGCCCTTAATCTCATCCTGTGTCCTTTTAACTGACCTGTTCTGCGGACGGTCTCTTGTTGAGGAGACCGGCCTCTTCATTGGCCTTGTCCGTCTTCATCTCCACTACGATGTCGTTGTTCACCTCTCCGCTGGCCCTGCAGAGAAAGGAAAAGACAAAAAAGACAGTGAGCTTTGTTGAACTATAGTTTGTACAACTAATGGATGTAGACGTGACGGAAGGTTGGCGACCCCTGGTTTGACCTCTGCACAGCGTTGTTGACATAAATAATACTGGGATGCTTTAGACAGCATGCACTTCAAAACCTTGTTTACGCTCTACACCCAATGTCTGGACTGCACCATTACTTAGTTTAAAAAAAGATTTTCTTTTGCTTTGTCTTTTAGATTAAACACAGACTTAATTAAAATCAAAGATGTGATCAAACTGCTTTTCCAGCTATTTATCTGACTGAAAGACAGATGTGAGGACAAACGTCTGAAGCGATATCTCTTTGAGGATTTACTGATGGAGCCTCTCAACTTCTCACTCTGTCACCCTGCATACTGATCTGAAAACACACATTTAGTTTTTTCATGATTAGATCAAACTCAAACTGATTTAGAGGATACTCTAGCAAAACAAAAAAACATTTTTGTGCATTTTTAACAATGCATTAATATGCTGATCTTATAAGTGTACACACATACTTGTACAATAATACTTTAAAGGCTAAAATAAGGCTTTTTGACAAATTTGAAAACCCAGTTTTTTTGTTGGCATAATAAAAAAAATTGACACGATTGAGAGAAAGTTAAAAAGATTTAACTCTGATTCAGATTTGAAGCTTCATGCAAGAGTATCTTCATTTGTCAGACAGCAAATCTTTACTTCTCACTGCATTAGATTTACTTATCTTTATATTTAACAGATCACTGTTTTATTTTATGTGATATTTAACTTTTTATTACATTGGTACATTAACTGTGCTAAAGGCAGCGCCAGAGTTTTTCTTATCATTCTTTAACCAATTCTAAGAGCAGAGATGAATTTTAATTAAATTGGTGACTGTGGCTCAGGAGGCAGCTCAGCTCGCACCACTAACCAAAAGGATGGTGGTTCAATCCCTGGCTCTTTCTAAGCTTGAATGGTTGAATGTGACTTGTCCTGTAAAGAACTTTGAGTGGACCACAAAAAAAAAAGCAAAATATAAATCAGTTTTATTACATTTGCAATCCCAGCCACCATTACTCCACTCTACCCATCTTAACTTCTCCACCGCTCTGTACTCACACTTCTTTCTTATCCTTCTTGCTGCAGGGCAACTTGCTCTTCTTGTTCAGGAAGTAGATGAGCGCCACCAGCAGCAGGAGCAGCAGAACACACACCACCACGGCTATCACCACCCCGCTGGAGCCTCCCTGCTGCTTGTCAGCTACAGTGCCGCAAGGGAGGCATGGAGGGAGGGATGGAGGGGAAGATGGAGGGAGTGGAGGGTTGGTGGGATAGTTGAGGGAGGACAGAGGAGGCACGGAGGGGGAAGTGAGGGATCAATCGCAGTGGAGGAGGGTGGGAGGAGAGTGGAGGGAGTGTTTGATTTTGAAGGGGCAGTGGTGGGGAGAGCGGCATCATGGCGGGTGGAGGGAAATGGGGTGTTTTGATTTGTGGGGTAGAAAAGAGGTAGAGAGAAGGAGGGTAATGATTTCAGTGGGGTTACCATGGGGAGGAGAGAAGAGGTGATGGGAGGATGGGGACGGGTGGGGTCAAGGTGATGGATGGATGGATGGGTGGGGGGGATTGATTGGGTGGAGAGGAAAAGAAGTGGGGAAGGGGAAGTGGGATGTGGGGTTAGTTTAACTTTTGAATGCGCTGACTGAAATGTGATGGGACCCCAATACAAGGGTCAGTACACTCACAGGTAAAACTAGACAGCTGACCAGAGCCAGAAAACACTGAACATACTCACCCATCCACATATACTTGTATTACTACACTTGTGAGGACATGACTCTCCCCTCAAAACTGTTGCTGCATAAAATATAACTTTTAAAGGCCTTTATCCATTAATACAGATTTATACTATGGCCATTAAGAACACTAAGTGTTTCTGCCTGGATAGTGTCCTTAAAATAATGGTTTGACATTTGGGAAAATATGCCAAGTTGCTTTCTTTCTAAGACAAGGATGCAATAAATTATAATTTTAATACATACAATATATTTATTGGGCTGGAGCCTGGGGGCGGTTGGATTATCTTGACAGTCAGAGTACATCCGAGGTAAAAACTACACCATCACCTCAAAAGTTCATTCACACACTATAAATCATTTGTTAAGTGGCGTCACAAGGTTTATGTGACGGACTATTTATCTGTTCGGAGGAGGAGACTTCCTGGAGTCTCAGCTGGTTGCCAGGCGACCCCAGGGAAACGTCACTGCTCTAATATCTTCTACGTACTTCAGACGTTATCAGTGAAAAAATGATGCTTAACTATTTATAATCAGGGTACAAGGTGAGCTCAAGTAACAGTAACCACAGCAACAGTACTTCTGGCTCTCCTGGTCGTTATGCCAACTTAACCATGACTTAAGTCGAAGGGAAAAAAAGGCAAACAATGGATGTTCATTTGGCTGTGGTATAAACACAATAAAAATCATTAGGTCAAGTTGAGGAAAGATTCTTTGCCTCCACTTTCATAACAGGACAAAGATTTTCAAAGATTGTTCTTTGGAAATAAGAATCTGGTCGCCTATTTATGGGCCCATTAACTCATCTCTGAATCAAAATTCCTGTAGTTTTAGCAAATAATTGTGGGACAGATTTGATCCATAAGACATATTTAGTTCAAGGCCACAATAAGTAAAGTATAAAAAGAAAATTTGGGTCAATTACAGAACTACATGTATCTGTAGATAAGGCGTATACCATATTCATAGTACAGAAGACGCCTGTTGAGCTAAATAATGACTATTATATATTTTTTTATGAATCAGTCAGGCACCATTTTTTAATTTATTGAAGTAATTTGAGAAAATGACTTGATAAGCTGAATAATCAAAAAGCAAAAAATGATTGTCAAACTACAAGTTGAGATGCACAACAACCTTTCTGACACCAGAACCTTCCTTCACCGTCCTAGTTTAAAGTCGGCCCTCACAACTACAGTAATACAAGTTTGGATACACAAACACATCAGCTCTTGTAAACACAAAGACACTAACCTGTGTGTGTGTGCACACAGGCATCAATACACACACGGTGACTTAAGAGTTGTAGACGTACACCATATACATGTCAGTAGGGTTAGCGATACAGACCTGACGTAAGCACAGGGTTTCCAGAAAGCAGCACTTTGAGAGAAAGAAAGTTTCTCAGTTGTGTAGCATAGCAAAGCAACAAACACACAACACACCACAGGGCAAACGCACACAGAAGCTTAGGTTATAACACGGTCCTACACACAGCACCCAGAGTAGTGGAACAACGACGAAGAGAAGGAAAGCCAGAAACAGGAGGACAAAGTCGGAAAGAAGACCACGAAGGAGACACAGTGAAGGAACAAAGAGAGGAAAGGAAGAAATAGAATAGAATAGAATCCTTTATTGTCCCCTAGGGGCCACACAAAGTGTAGTAGCATCCACAAAATATAGGACAGACATCATACAAAGGTGACGAGAGAAGAAGAATAACAATATACAATATCCACAGTGTTCGGTAGCAAGAGGGCAAATATACAAGATTACAGTACAGAGGAGGAAGGTGTGTGTGTGTGTATGTGTGTGTGTGTGAGAGTACATGTGTGTGTACGTGTGTGTACGTGTGTGTACGTGTGTGTACGTGTGTGTGTGTGTGTGTGTGTGTGTGTGTGTGTGTGTGTGTTTGTGTGTGTTTGTGTGTGTGTGTGTGTGTACGTGTGTGTGAGATGGAAGGGAAGGGGCAAGAGAAGATGGGTGGAGGGGGGGTATTTCTAAATTACAGGGTCTGTACAACAAAGAGTCCTGAGAGAAGGAGGGAGGAGAGGAGGAGGAGGGAAAAGGCGCTACCTCTGTCGGCTGAGTTGTCAATTGCTGCAAAAAGGAGACAAGAAAAAGAAGGAAGGTTTCAGGTTGCAGGCAATGGAGCTGGTAAAAGAGCAAAAGAAAGCAGCAGTGACATGAAATTCAAAACCTTCTGTTATATCAAGTTATCTAGTTTAAAAAGAGATTTGCTAAACACATTAATGCACCATTCAAATGTGAAAGTTGCAAAAAGGAAGATCAGATTATGCTGAGCAAGATGACATTGTGTGATAATTACCTCCGCCAAGGAGGTTATGTTTTCATTGCCGTTTGTGTGTCTGTCAGCAGGATCACGCAAAAACTACACATCCAATCTTCTTGAAACTTGTTGGAAGGGTGAGACATGGGCCAAGGAAGAACCCATACAATTTGAGAGGGGTTTCAATCAAGGGGAGAGATCTGTATGCCAGAGGATCCTTGGGCAAGATAATGAAACCCAGTATTGCCCCTGATGGCAGCGCTGATGGTCCTTCTCACAGAAAGAGTGCTGCCCATAGATGTACTGTATGAATGGGTGAATGGGTGAATAGCAAAAAAAACTGTATTGTAAAGTGTGGTCATCAAGACTAGAGAAGTGTTATATAAATCCAGACCATTTAGCATTCAAAGAAAATGAAAAACATTTCTTGATCTGCACCAAAATGTAATGGCTTCTTCCTTGACCCATAACACATTCTTCAATCTAGTCTCATAGTTATTCATCAAGTAGTTTTTGAGTAATGCCACTAATTAACAGGCAAACAAACGTGGATGAAAACATAACCTCCTTGGCGGAGGTAATCATGAATTCCTTTGAAGAGGACGGAGACGCAGCGGCATCATCGTTGCCGTCGTGTCCTGACACTGACCTCGTTTAAGAGATACTGGGAAGGTCTTGCTATCAGTTCCGTGCTTGTTGGTGACCTCGCAGGTCACCCCGGCCTTCATGATCTCGGCTGTGGTTTGCAGGGTCACGGTGCTCACCACCTTGTTACCTTCCACTGACACAGACTGGCAGGGGGAGAAGGGAGGGAGGAGTGATAGAGGAGAGAGGACAAAGAGAAGACATTTCTGACATGTTCCTCCATCACGTCTCAGCAAATACATTTTAATTTTGTGGCTTATTTTCCTGTTGCACTTTGAACTTGTTCATTCTTTGGTGGATAAGTCCCGTCCCTTCCATTGTGCACACACTTTGTTCAGTTCTTCATCCCATTATTCTCATTCACACAAGTTTAACTTCATCTTTCTTAATGGATATCCACATGTTCGTCTGAAACCATCCAATCTTTCAGGATCATTCATTTTTTATCTAATTTTTTCAGTTTATTTGATATAAGACTTCAATTATGAAACCATATTCCCTCTGTAAATTTCTTAAAAGCCGCTTAATATGACATTTTCTTTTCAACTATATCCCATCAATATAAAATATTAGTATAAAATATTACAGCCCAACAAGCTCTCTCTCACCCCCCCATTGGGTTTGAAGTTTAACATGCCAGTTTCCCAAGAAGAAGATCTTAAGATTCTATGAAAAATGAATCATGCTTCAAACTTCACATCTTGACCAAAATGGAAGCACCACTAGTAATAGCTCTGTTGTTTGACACACATCTTCACCTCCACAGGCTGTTCATTTCCCTCCAGGAAAGCATCAATGGCTCTTATTTACTAAGTGCTTTTTATAAACTGCACAAGAGGAAAGAGGTATCTTTGTCTCTGCTGGCCTCGCCTTTATTTTCAAACTCGTACCTCTTTCCCTGACGGCTTCCAGGTGAACTGAGGGGCGGGGTAGCCGTAGGCCGAGCACTTCAGAGACACCATGTCTCCTTCCTTCGCCACCTCTCCTGCAGCGGGAGTCTCGATCATCGGCTTTCCTGGGGAGGGAGGGAGGTAGCGGAGGGGGGAAAAATAATTGTAAACAGTGCAGCCAAACCTCTAGACACACACACACACACACACACACACACACACACA